ATGAGAATAAGTTAGGACTAGTTTCCCAACCATGTAGATTTAATCCATACCTACATACTTACAAGTATTATTAAAATAAAGGACTAAATTAATATTATTTAACGGGAATTAACGCGATCTCTTATTTAGGGTATTACATACCTTTGGTTTGCCTGACGTTTCGACCAGGTTGCACCGGCCGTGGTCACAGGCTGACTCGCTAAGAGATCGCGTTAATTCCCGTTAAATAATATTAATTATCATGGAACGCGAAAGTTTAAAAGTTAGTAAAGGACTAAAACCCTAAAATAATTCTCTATTGTAACTTATGCTCTTACCTTGTTTAAAACATGACCATACTTTACGAGTCTCAAAGCGTATCACAGACAGACGCGGGTTGCGTTGGTAATCACTTGTTTTAGGAAAAGACATATACATACATATATGTGGTACTCAACAGGCGAGATCTCCGCCACGATGTAAGTCATTGTCATGTTCGGATTTACAGGCTAATACAGATTCCACACTCGTTAACTTTATTTCCAAGCAAAAAAAACCGGTCAAGTGCGAGTCTAGTCGAAGTACCTCTACCCAGATTTTACGTAGATTTTCGCGAAAACTTGTAAGTACCAAAATTTACCTTAACTTTTTTTGTTTTTAATTTTTCCTTTATTTGTGCTGTAAGACCTCGCTTTTTGCCAAATTTCGTGATTCTACGATCAACGGGAACTACCATATAGGTTTTCGATCCAAAACTTGTAAGGTACTTCCGGTTGACCTAGAATTGCCAAATTATTCATCCTATTTATTAAAAAAAATGCGCTGTTCTTTTTTTCAAAAAATCGGTTTTCGAACTTGTTCGATCTTTTTTTAATAACTTGCCACGAGCCAATTTTTCCAAAGTATGTTTTTTAAACTAATACTTTTACCCGAATTATTCCGTTGATATCCCGGCTAGTTTTTTTTTTGGTCTGAACGTACTAAGCCTGTAAATCCTACACGAAAAATACAAAATCTAAAGAGGAAACAAAACAATATTTTGTTTGATTTCGTATCTGACTCGTGACTATCGGCAACTTGTGGACCAAGTTACTAGATGTAGCGGGCGCTTGTTAAAGTATTAAGCAATCGAAAACAACTAAATTAAAGTTTGTTTTGACTTGACTCAATTTCTAACTGCTCTGGGAAAACTCGTATAATACCCATCAGTGCATTAAATAACGAGTATAGTGATGGTAAAGTCAATGATATTGCTTTAAGTAATCAAGCACAATATTAAAACTATACATAGTTAAATAATAATTTCGTGCCTTCCGCGCCACCGTTGGAAGGAAGGCCACTTCACTCCTTGAGAAAAGTTTTTTTTTTGTTTTTAAAAGACAACTATCTCACTAGGACTAAATCCAGTGTTGCGAGGGACTTTACAAACATACATGAAACGGACACAAAGGACACCCAGACTCAGAACAACAATTAGTGGATTACACAAACCTACAACAAACAGCGCAGTAGGTAGCGGCGAGATGACCGCTTAAACCACTATGCCATCCGTGCAGTCAGTAGGTATACTATATACCTAGTATACTATATATGCGAAAGTTTGTGATATACTCATATGGATGTTTGTTAGTCAGAAAGCTAGAACGACTTATCAGATCTGGATGAAATTTGACACAGAGTTAGTCTGGAATAGATCGTAGGGTAATTTTTATTAAGGAAAAATTGATAGACAAAATTGAAATTAACTAAGCTAGCTAAGCGAATAAAAGTTGTGTTATTTATCGTGTTTTTATCAAGCAAGTGGATCTCAAAACTGCTTTGTAACTTTAGAACTAAAGTTTTATTTTATGAGAAGTTCAGCTCGATTTGTTATGATTCATCAGAATTCGACTTATCATTATCTACTTCATTGTATTCACAATTTATCATCGAAATAATTTCATTCAAATCATACTCGCTACATCTTATGACTTGATACTCCACAATGAGCAGTCGAGTCACGCTCGAACGCTGTGGGGAGTTAACGTGGGTCGAGTTGCCCAATACTAATTTCTTTTACACGACTGTTGAATCAAACAATTTAGCCAACTATGTACGTGTATTTGTGTGTCAAACACATGGTGTCATTAGGCCAGTAGGTTCTCGAGGATACTCTTCCTAGGGTAATAACCGAGTTCCTTTCAATATACTACTTTCCTCCTCCTGATTCTGGGAGCAATGCTTCAGGACGAGTACACGGAGCACTGGTGTTAAGCAAATAGTTCAGTTTTTGATGATTTTTGCGGAGTGAGTGAGGGAATCGACAACTTAAACCTCCCCATATTGGGGGGGAGACTGGGGAGATTTATAGACCGGCAACGCACTTGAACTCTAGAGTTGCAAATGTCCGTAAGCGGCGGTAGTCGCCTACCATCAGGTAACCTGTCTGCTTGTTTGCCTGCCTATGCTATCATAAAAAGATTCACATCTGACGGGATACCGATGGATGTTAGTTGGTCCGAGTCCTACACACCGTTTTACTGTGAGTCCCGTGTGAAGTGATAACGCGTGGTGAAAAAAGCAAGTGTGGGGTTAAGAAAAAGCAAATATGTAATTTTAATGTTAATTTAATACTTAGGTTTTCAGATGCTCGAAATTTGAAAACGGAACGCATCTCTGTCATATCTTATTATAAGGCAAATTTATTTGAAACTCAAACATAAAAGGCCATTTACAGCAATTAAAAAAAAATGAAGTATTATACCGTTAACATTTCGCGCTCTTTCGTCTGCTACACTGGAGCTTATATATATCAACAGCCTATAATAATCCACTGCTGGCGTAGGTCTCTCCTTAGAAAGGAGCTTAAACGTGAACATTTGCGTGCTATGATATATTTTGACTTTAAATGTGGTTTATCTGAAATATTAAGCTTAGAACGTTTAAAATTAGCTTTAGTTGAGGCTGCTCCTTCTCAGGCAATCTTTTTCTGCTTCTTTTTTAGATGGTTCAACGAATTGAAAATGGGGAAAACTAGCTTTGAAGATGATGACAGAAGTGGACGCCCGCCAACAGCAGTCGCTGCTGAAAATGTGTGGACTACTGAAATGCTTCTGCGAGATGACCCACAAATTACATACAGGGACATAGAGAAAATCTTAGGCATCAGTTCGGTTAGTGTCCACACCATAAAACATGAATATCTTAGAATGAGAAAGCTTTGTGGTCGTTGGATACCTCGTTTTCTCTCCGAAACGGAAAAAGAAGCCCGTGTGAAATGGTGCTGTGAGACGTCTGCGTATTTGAAAACGGGAGGTCAAGATGTGTTTCTGAAATAATTACTGGCGACAAAACATGGTTATATGTATATGATCCGGAAAGCAAGAAGTGTTCCTCGGTATTGGTGTTTCCAGATTTTTAGTTGCCAACAAAATTGGCAAGAAAATAGTTGCCAATTATAAGTCTATTAACTCAGAATGATAAACTACAGTTGCATTGCCAAAAGTTTTCAAAGCTGTGCAGGAGAGACGACCAAAGCCCGGGCTCCGGGCAATGATGCGAACAAAGGCGTTTATTCAATAATCGGGTATTGAAACCCTACCTCGCTCACCTTATAGCCCCGACTTAGCTCCTTATGACTTCTTTTTATTCCTCACCATAAATTATAAGATAGAAGGCAAGTTTATTCAAGTGCCGAAGAAGCGGTGGCTGCCTACGAATCAGCCATTTTTGACCTGCCGGAGCAAGACTGAAATAAGTGTTTCCAGGCCTGGTTGAGGCGGATGAAAATTTGTATAGAGAGTGATGTAAAGTACTTTGAAATAAAAAAAAAAACACTTTCAAAAACACCCGGGAAGTGAAAACCCAAACCAAAAAACAGTGATCTTAATTACTATACCTACGATAAACTATTCAATAATCAATTTCAATTTATAATTATTTATTTACATAATTATAATGTGTCAATTCTTGTCTGAACCCGTTATCTATTAATTTAAATAAAATATTGTATGTGCTAGACACCTGATGATGAACTGAAACTGACGTGTTTGAAGTCGGTGCCAACTCCAAAAATAACAAAAACTATTTATACAAGATTAAATTAATAACGAAACGTAATACTAATAAAATACATTATTTTTATTAGGAATCTATGTATTCATTTTGGATTTTTTTTTATGTTGTGAATTATCATTAAGTCTGAGTTTTTGTCATTCAATCTTTTGAAACGCAGTATTTTGAGCTTAGTAATTATAAAAGTTAGGAATAATGAAATTTATGAATTATAAAAATGTGATGAATGATCAATCGGAGTTGTTATATTAGGAATTTTGAACAATTCGGAATTATGTAAATCGGTTTTTTGACATTCGTATTTGTGACTGACGGAATAAAGTTTTTCGTATTTGTGTAGTGTATCGAATGACGGGTGTTGGGTGTTGTAAAACGGTTCAAAATGACGTTACGCAGAGATCTGTTGGAAGAAGATGAAGCGCCATACGCTGTTCTCATTAGGTTTTGATAACGAGACAATAGGCTGCAGATTGAAACGAAGAACGCAGATTGAAAAAAAATGATCAAAGCCGTTTCGGAGGAGTGCGGCCAACAAACACCACCACACGAAATATTATATATTATAATATAGTGCGCAATGAAACATTTTGCTAATAACATCTATCTACAAAACTCATGTGCTCAACCTGCGAGCGAGACACGATGGGACGGATGACGTCATAATATCAGTATGCCGCACAGTCGTGTACAGCGTGTATGTGGGTGTAACTTCGCCGGCGCGGCGCGTCGTGTCGCGGCGTCGGTCGATATCTCTCTTTCATTCACCTCACTGCAATATACACCTTAAACAATCCACATAAAGTTCATAATACAATGCCGATGAATATCTTTTGGCGTTTCATAAACGAAACTCGGCACACGCGTGCATAGCGTGGCTGGCTTTGGTTGCCGACTGACGATAATACAAGATTATTTTTGTAACCAGTTTTTAAGATACTTTCAATTGTGAATACTTAAATAATTTTATAATGGAGTGCAATACTGTAGAATTCTTTATAGAGAAAGTACGTGATTGTCCGTGTTTGTGGAACATGGACCATGTGTCATATAGGGATATGGCGAGGAAGGATTTGGCTTGGGAACGTGTCGCTAAAGAGTGTAACATGTCAAATGGTAAGAAACCATTTATGAAATTATTATTATTACCACATTTGATGTCTATTGTGACTTTGTTCGTTACTGACGAGTATTTATAGCACGTGGGCATTTATAAGAATGTGTTTCTCTGAGTGACTGAAGGTGACACTGGCTGACGAGAGGTGGCCGTCGTGTGAATCCACGTGATGCATAACGGTGTGAACGAGATACAAACAGTGTTGTTTATATAGTTGTCTCTCTCTATCGATCTGTTTGATCTTGTATAGGCGGTTTCGCTTATCAGCCGTAAATATGGCACCTAACAAAATATAAGAAATTATTTATTCACTGGCAGGTAAACTCACTTTAAAATCGGTTTATTCTCTAGGGTATGACGTCATAACCATAGAATTTGACTTGCCTGACCAAATAAGCTCACAGGGGCTATGACAAATACCTAGTCTGCTCAAAGAAGTAGGTACCTAGGTACTTTGCCAGGTTTGCCTAATACCTTTTTATTTATTTTTTGAAATAAAGCCTTTTTCACTAATGTTTCACAGTTCTCTAATGAGGTGCTTAAAGTCCCCAAAGTATATTAAAACAAGAGAACTTTTACGCAGTTCTTGAACATACTAAGTAACTTTTTAATTAAATTAAGACTAAATATTACGCTGTACCTTATAATAAATAAAAGACCAAAATTTTAGTGAAGGTGAAGGTTAGTTGCAAGTGTACTTATTATACACTAGTATACTATACACTAGTACCCCGACAAGTCTCCCATTATAAGATGTATTGCTCAAGACAAGACCTAAGTAAAGTCTTATTTAATTATCTCTTTGTTTATTATACTGGGGCGGTGCTTTTATAATAAGAATATAGCAAAATTATGCAAAAATTGAACTCAAATTTTCATGCATTGAAACACTGCGTCAAGAGTCTTACAAGTTAACAAATTTACGGTCTCATAGAAAACCGATTAAGCAATCCTCCCCCCCCCCCCCTCCTTTGGGATATAAAGGGAGCAAAGAGCCAACTCTCTCGATCCGAAAACTCTTGAATTGAAATCGTCTTAGAATGTACAACAATTACAATTACTGTTTCAGTCATGTGTGTATTTCGGGGATGCGCAACTTACATTTGTCGAGTAAAGAAACTAGAAGCGTAATCGATGTACGCTATGACTATTAATTATTAATATTAATTAACCTTAGTATTTTGATATGACAATCGATATTACTTGACAGCTGGTGTTTTTATGTTGACACGTCACTTTTTTGTTACAAAAGTCATTCGATTGTTGATTTATACCAATTAAACCAATTATAATTATAAATAGGTGCTTTACAACCTGGTTCCCCAGCAACTCTCGTGCGGTTTTTGGTCGGTCCATATATCATATATACTTATATATCATAATCGGACATAACCACTTCAGCGGTGGGTGGTATCCGAGGGGATTTCTGCATAGAAAAAAAGGAGAAGGAAAACTTGATACCAACCCTAGTACCCTGTACTAACCATACCAAGCCTATGTGCAGCAGTGGACTGTTATAGGCTATTGATGATGATGATCTAAACCAGTTCCTGACAGTGATAAATATCCAGTCCCTTTAGCACCAACAATCACAGATGAAGAATGTGAGATTTTAAGCAACGAGGAAGAAGAGATTGGCGATATTATAATTCACTATTTATGCATAAGTAGACCTAGGTTTTAGAGGGATTTAGCTGGTATACCACTCGCAACCACTTCCACGGCATACAACGCAACGAAACAACCATTTTTAGTTATTTCATTGGTTAATCAAAGTAATTGCTTTTTTGTAAAAAAAGTGTAATATGACTATTTTTTTGTTGAAAATCAGAATACAGAAAAATAAACATGTTTATAATGGACTGGAAATAAGAGTTGTTTATTGACACATAAGTTAATTACATTATTATTATAGTTAGGTACAGACTATTACATTTTTACTGACACTGACTCCCAAACTAGGCCGGCAGCCTGTATCTTGGAAGACAGTATTCAGTCGCACAAAAGGAAAACAGCATTATTTGTAGGTACATAAGGTCGCTGTTTACACTTAATTCGTTACTTTAACAGTAACGAATAAAGTGTAGTCTAGTACTAAGAATATATCTAATTGCGGGGGGTATCTAAGTGTGTATGGGTGGAGGTGATTCATGTGTGTATGTGTGTGTGTGTGTGTGCGCACGCGTGCGTGTGTGTGTGTTTGTGTGTGGGTGGGTGTATGCATGTGTGTATACGTGTGTAGGTAAATCGGGATTAGTGAGATTTAATTATTTATTTATAAAATTGAAATTTATCATAACCAAAATGGTATGTATTACACAAAGTCGATGTATGTATTCCTATTTAGCAGACTCTAATGAGTAGAGTAAAGTAGATTCAGATATTTCAATCAATGTTATTTAAAAAAAAAATATGTTTTGTCACACAGTGTTTATATGTAGGTATTGTAGAACAGGCACCCAGGCTTGGCTAGTGTAAGGCCGCCGGATATTAACATACTCGTATATTATAATTGTTTTACTGTAAATATTTTTTTAATTTATTTATTTTATTTTTACTTTAAAAAACCGTTGCACACTGCGTGCATAAGTTTTTTACTCAAGCATCCTCGATTTGTGTGTGTGTTTGATCGAGCTCAAACTATTTATTCATTTGTCAAATTAATCTCGTCTGATACCCTCTTTTTAATTCCTGTTTTATTAATTGACTGCATGATAGATAGCTTGAGAAGCCCAAAATCGATCTAAGTGGCGTGCAATGGGAGAGGCCTATGTCCAGCAGTGGACTGCGATAGGCTGATGATGATGATGATGATGATGATAGATAGCTGATATCGAAAACAGAAAAGTTTCAGTTTACGGCTCTTAGACAAATTAACTGCCTTCTTGAATCTTCTTCGTCATTTTGTTTTAGTAATTTATAATTATTAAATAAACTTTTTTTTTTGTCAGGTAGGGAAGCAAAGATTCAATGGAAGAAATTGAGGGACAGCCATAGAGAAGCTTTGCGTCGTCGAAAACCCTCATCTGGAATATCGGCCCAAAACTTAAAGCCATGGAAATATGAAGAAAAAATGAAATTTGTGTTAACAAAAACCGAAGTTAAAGAATCTGCAATCTTTTGGAATGACTCAAACGATACTCATAATTCTGGTGATAATTTAATAGAAAATAACGTGACGGCAGAAGTTACACTTCCAGAACCAGTACTACCAATGCGGTACCCAGACCCATTGTATACAGACCAGGAAATACGAGAAGAAAAATATAGAGAAAGACACGAGAGGAGAATGCACACATTTGACATGAATCGAAGCGATGGATTGTCCAAGCTTTTTGATAGTTTCTGCCAAAAGACACGTGAACTACCTAAGTACTTACAGTTACGAGTTCAGAGAGAAATATTTGACACTATCTGTCGAGCTGAAGAAGAAGCTTTATCATTAAATCTTGACCCAATAAATGCATATAGTCCAATGTCATCGTCATCTCCACAGGGATATACCAGAGCTCCTAATATTGACAGAGAAACGCAAAGAGATGGTGAGGATCCTGAATACGAAAGAAAATATAGTCGCCAAAGTCTGGATTGTTAATTTTTACTTTACTAGGTAGTCAGCTTATCATTGAATGTGATAGGTTTTTTTATCACAAATTGCGCCAAGTAGAACAATAGTTTTTTGGTGCGTGAAAAACACGTCAAGAGTATGTTATCTAAAAATTCATAACATGTTATCGTAACGTATAACATATCCCAATTCCTTCAAGAAATACATTATCATATCCACAAAACTCAAGCCTTCAAGCCCACAAAAGTAAAGCTCCCTAAACCTTAGAGAGTAATATATTACATCGGATTGTCCAGGGTGACATGAATGTCAACTGTGTTACCAGAAAATATAGTTTTGCTCATTTGACCGAATTGTTTATTCAATAAATAAGATATCGTAGCGGCTGCCGTTTTCCGAGGGGGAGATATATGTGGCGAAACTGATAAATATGTCTCGTCTCCTCGCGGTTATATTGGAACATTTATCAAAAAACTAACAGTCATTCTTGGAAGAAAACCGTTCGTAACGTGTGAATGTAATTTGGCGTGGAGGTGGTTTGTGATTTCCTTCTCAGTGATATGTATTGAACTGAACTGTGACTTTTATGTTGTATGTATAAATAAGTAAAATTTATTTTTATTTTATAGTATTTTGGTGTTCTCATTCATATACCCATGGGCTTTAATTGGGAAACCTAAGAAGTTAAAGTTTTTATTTATTATAAAATACAGAATTTCGCAAGTTTCCCTGGCAATTCACAATAATATTTGCGATTGTATTACAAAGTTATTCCTGATTCATATCATAAAAAAAATATAATTGATGAAAAAAAAAGATACAAAGGAGGTCTGCATACATTCTATAATTGTTTATGTACAATTAATGTGACGAGTAATAGATGATCAAATTGTGCCTTATATAGATCGCAGCTTGACGGCGGATGCAATCTTCTTATGTCATTGATGGAGTCTTACATGTCTTGTCTTACATTCTAATGGACGGCCATTGGTTGAAATGATGATGATTTAATTATGTCTTGCTATAACAGAGAGCAAAAGTATATCATAGTACCTGAATATTCAACATGATATATATAGCATTGAGCGTTTTGATACCGGTATATTAAAGTCCTGTAAAAAATATATTCTATTACTTGCTATGTGCATTGACGGATTTAATGCCTAAGGTATTCTCTACCAGTTTACCATTGGGGAATGCATCAAATTAGTATTAAACCAGATATCATAAATACAAAGTTATAAATGTAACACCTATATATATATACGTACTTTAAGCCGATTTTGCACCTAAGTAACTTTGGCAACAACATCTAATTACTAGTGTAGCGATTCGAAAATTTGTTAGCAATATACCGATATGTATTTTTAGATAGTAATACATATACAGAGTGTGCCTTGATTTGATTACATTTAAATTAATTGCCCGCACAACCACAAGCGGGGTGGGGTGAGTCGAGGGATTTAGCCGCTAGCTCACTTCTCGGAAACATAGTTTATAACTATAGTTTAGATACAGATGTTCGAAAATTATTGTGTTCTGTTAAATTTACCATCGAGCTATACCACAAAATGTGTCATATCAAATTTATCTGAAAACATTTCTTTTATTTGGTAACCACGTAAAGACTAAACTGAAATATATTAGATAGATATAATCCTGAACTATTCGAATGACTTGTTTGCCACCTCGTTTATAATGGGAGAGCTAGTGAACCCTCCGAGTAACGATATATCTGTAAGGCTACAAATTCTTTTTGTGATGAGTACGGATGAGAATGCTAAGTACGGTAACTATCACCTGACACGCCCTGCACGTCATCAACCCTTATATTTTTGAAAGTGTAGAAAAAATTTGAAAAAAAAAACTTGTGCTGTAAGTTTGAAATTTTTATACGAGTTTGTTCATAAATAATTCATGATCATGAAGATTAATTTAAAAGACATTATATCATAATTAATAAAATATATTTTACCCATAATTTCTATTTTTACCTAATGTAATTTGCATCAATGATATGAGTTTTCATGTTACGCCTCTTACTTGCACTCCGCATCTTTCTCCTCACCTTGCTCTGCTTTAAATATTTGACAAAACAGAGATTGTTGCTATTGTGCACATTGATCTATGATTTTAGAGTCATAAGAGACGATTTCAAGCAATATTTTTTTATGAAATGAGGATATTTTGAGTTTGAGAATTTAAGTCACCACTACTTCACAGATTCCCTCACGTTTCGACCAAAAGGCTAATTCTCGTAATAAATGTTCGGTGACAAGATCAGTTATGACAAGATGAGTTGTGAGATTGAAAGTTGATCAGAACTGAATTGAAACCGACCTTTTATTACGAGGATTGGCCATCAGGTTCCAATTCAAAGGTATGTTACACCTATTAAAAATTTCTGATTTAATAAAAGGAAAGGAATAAAGTGAAAGGATTATCTTATAAATGCGCGTCATCGTTTCTATCGACTATGTGACCATCTTTCTTCACAGTTGTTTGACTTACAATCACCTGTGATGCCTGTATAACAGTTGAATGTAATTAAAACAATATCCAACAAAGAGTTTGGAAGCGTTTTGCTTATAAATACTTCAATTAGCCTAAAAGGATTCAATTTAATAAGGTTTTCCTTATGAAATTGAATCTTTTTACTAAAGGGTACTTCTAATAGGCATAGGTTACCTGCCTATTAGAAGTACCCTTTAGTAAAAAAGAAGGTAGGAATTTAAGGCCGTTAATGTTGCTCATACGGATGAATGCAGACTGTAAGTAAAAGCTGAAGCAGATCATACCTGTAGTTCGAACTGGCTACTGCCAAAAAAGTCTGACTAAAACTATTTATATTATAAAGTAGTTAAGACAAAGTTAAGTTCCCCATGTGGTGAGGGATTAAGAACACAGAGTGTCACCACCAATATTCATCCCGTAGGAGTCGTAAGAGAAGACTAAGGGAGTAAACTACTCAGGACAACAGCACTGCACAGAGAAGGAAAACTTGAAACAAATCCTATACCAACCCGTCTGGCCAGCGTGGTATAGTAGACAAGGGCAAAATTAAGACTACAAGTATTAGTGGGTTATGGTAGCCACTTACAATCATACTACCTGGACCCCTCCTAAACTGGAAGCGTAAAGAGGGCACACCGTGTGGTTTTAGTCGGTTCGAGTCCTACACATCGCCCCGCCGAACGAGAGCCCCGGCGGGGTGACGGTCCGAGGGGATTTCCAAACGTAAAAAAAAAAAAAGCCACTTACAATCAGTCGAGTACTAATTTCTTTTTTGCACACTTAAGAAAACTTAAGTTGGTGTTAAATGATTTTTAGTGATGAGATCGCAGAATAAAAATCAGTGAAATGTTTAAATCGATCTTATAAAATTGTCCCTCATTACAACATTGCACCTCATTAAACCTTTGTACGAACTGCGAAAATAGGGTGATATTTTCAATCAAAGAGTACGAAGGCTCGCGTGGAGTATCCTCGACGTCGGCTGAATCAGCGCTCTTTGGATGGACTGGTCGTTATGCTAATGAATTTAAATCCCCTTATATTTTCGAGACCGGTTAAAATTCGTGAGCTGACAGAAAATATTGAATATTTAAATTTTGGCCAACCGATAAAAAATAATCTTTAAATGTGTTTCTTTGCGTGCGCGTACATGTGTATGTGTGTTAAGTAAGAATGGTTAGATTATTTGATTACCAGTTTTCCTTAAGACTTTTTTTTTGTTTTGAAACTACAAGTGCTTATTTCTTGAATAGAAGATATAATACTTACGCAAGATTCAGGACCTTAGCATGATAGTAAAATATAATGTGTGCTTTGCCATAATATATTTGCCATAATTGTGAATTATGGTGTCCTTTCGCCTTCCATTTCTAACCCTTTTTTTTCAATACTACACCTTAATTTACCTTCTTCCTTAAAACGAGCCAGAACAGAATAAAACTGAATCAGAACAAATAAACCAAAAAACAATGAAGTTTATTGCAAAAATATATTTGTGAAAAGAGTCAAAACATTTGTGTGCAAGAACTTTTAATGTTTGATGTGCTTTGGGTGTTTCTATATGTATTCTGTATGTATTTACAAAAAAAGGTATATATGTCTGCCTATGTCCACCAGTGGACTGTTAAAGGTTGTTAATGATGATTGATGATTATTACAGATATTTCACATGATAGCATACCTATGTTTTAATAAGAATATTATCATTTTTCATTAGATAGTCATATCATCTTCACCTCATTTACAAATGAAACTCTCTCACTGAATTAAAGTAAACAACACATTTGAGTGGCCAAACACTGCAAGTGCAGACGGTACGGTCGATTCATTAGGAGATTTTATTGTTATTGCTACTGCACCCGGTGTGAATCTGTTCACTGCATCTGCAGGCGGTATCTACCATTTCGTTTTAATTTAATACTATAAGCATTATAATTGTCTAAATTTAATGTTCACTCTAACCGTTGCTTATTTTTTATCTCTGTTGTCATCAAGTCATTTTAAGATGTGGTCGACCATTTCATGAATTATGAATATTTAAATATTTACTTATTATAATTTATTTATTAATTTCATTCGGGAACCACAGGACCGTTTGTTGTGGAGGGCTTTAGGGGAGGCCTATGTCTAGCAGTGGACAACTTTCGCCTAAGATCATGATGATAGACATTTAATGAGCACCATACCTTAATGTGGCGACCATGGTCTAATCAAGATATGGTCTTTCCAGATCATGGAATAATATAATCAGTATTTGACGATATGAACAGCTAACAACATATTTTTTGTTCGGCAACCTTTGGAATGACAAATAGACTGTAGATAGATAATTTCATGGGCAGTTTTGGTGTGAAAAAAGAAAATAAGTGAAGGTAATGTACAATTATAGTCAGAATATATTATTGTAACTACGAGTATATCATATGCAAGCTTGTTTATTTGAAAATCATGCCTGTAATGTGGTTGCTGTTCAGGCTCGTGACAACTGTCACTAATAAAACATTTTAATTTACAGTTTTACAGGTAAATTAGCTTGGGGAAATTTTTGCGTTTGTAGTAGTGTATGGTTGTGCGTGTTTCCACTTTCCGATTTTTTGCTTTAGATTGAAATATCTCGGAAACGGTGCGTCCTAGGCCAAAAATAACAAAAATTTTGACCCCCCCGTAGAACCCCCGGAGTTTTAATAACCTAGATGAAAGGAAAAAATAAAATAAAATTAAATATCGGTCTCTCCTCTTTGAAGTTTCACTTCTATCGTGTGTGAAGCGCACACACACCTTTTTTTTTTATAAAGTCAAAACCTTTTTCTTTAAAATAAAAACTTGATTTAATTGAAAACAAAAATCAGAGTGTTGCTAGGGATAAGTATAAAATTAAATAGTAATGTTAGGATATCGAAACATTTTTACCTTATTTTTTATAGACCAGAACGATATAGTGGAAACGCGCTCTAAGATCTGAGTAATATACACACCACTACATATGCAAAAAATTCTCGAGACTAATTTCACTGTAATTAATTAATTATGTTTTTTTCATAACAAAAAATATAGTCTAGGTTTTTTATATTATTATGTCGTTTAATTATTTAGTTACAACGTTAAGTAAAACTCTGATGATTGTCAATATCCTTAATTCTATCTATTGTTTTTTCTGGGCTGGATAAAAAAGTGCTCGTTTTAAAATACCCCGTTTTAATAAATGATAGTAGTAGTATAATAAATAATAGTAGTAATAAATAGACTCTAATAAAAAAAAATAAAAAAAAATCACCGTTAAAGATACATATTTTATTATATGATAATGATAAAATTATTGTTATTATATATATACATATATTATGAAAAAAAAGATTGAAAATTGAGTCTTTTCAATCAATTTCTCGTTCACGCCTGCGTCGCGCTACTGTACTGCCTCTGGAGCGACCGGGTCCGGTCGTACAACGCGGTCGCGAGGAACCGAATGTACTCCATATAAATTCATACAAAGTAGTGGGTCGCTTTCGCGGTCAACTGAATGCTACCTTTAGGGTGCATATGTAATGTTTGAAATTTTGAACTATTCGATATTTCAACAGTATAGTTACATACATGTATACTGACCCCCAAATCCCCAAAGTCTTAGACAGACCTGTTTGTCGACTATAATTTTAGTCCCATTTAGGCAATACGGATAAGCCTATTGCTTAAATATGTGCCCGGTAGAATAATACTGCAGTAATCACAGAACTCTACGATATTCGTTCAAACTTGAAGGTATATCATTTTAAATTGGGTTTTATAAATAAATTGTCTGCACCACAGTAGTTTAAAAATCAAAACTTTGATACCTTACTGCTCTGAATAGGATTTGATTTGCAAAAAAAGTTAGTACCAATGTAAAAGAGCCTTTACGAAATCAATCCCGGTACGTAAACCTTGTGGCCCTGAGTTGTTCATGAATTCGTTTTAGGAGCACAGTTCCTTTTAAGAGCGCTATCAAACCACACACATTATGATATTCGAGATACTAGTACTGTTATTGAGTACCATTTTGTTCTATTTCTTATATTCGTACAAAAGACTCCACTCGTACTTTAAAAAGAGGGATGTCAAATTCCTACCCGGTGTGCCGTTTTTCGGCAATATTATGTCAACGACTTTCTTACGAAAGCATTTCATTCAAGAGCTAGAAGCGGTTTACAAGGCGTTTCCAGATGAAAAGTGAGTATTTGTTTAGCAATGTTTTCGTAATAAACTTGATAGCTCATCGAATATAGATTTTCGGTTTATTACAATTATGCATTCACTGTATTTTTAACAGAAATGCAGAGTTAATAAAAGAAAATCTCAATTCAACTGATTTTCAGATAATAATTATGTATATGTATGTACTTATCTGTATAATAATGAACTCATAATCAAAAATAAATTGTAACCAATTTAGATAACTCTTCTTTAAAGTAAGTTTAATATGGCTACTTAAAGTTAATCCCATCAAAATTTGAACAATATCTTCTACTTTTGAAGATCTAAAATCAAACTAAGTTTATATTCTTTATAATTTATTATAACCGATATGAAATGAAATCTATGTCTCTAATAGTTGTAAATTAGTGTATGTATATATTAACATATGTATGTATAGTATTTATGTATAAATATAGATTAGTAGGATTTATGTATAATAAATATTTAATAGGTTAAGACCTTACTTATTTCCCTAATTTCTGTATAATTATCACCAGTTCAAAATGAATCGAGGCGATCCAAAGGTTGCCTGGAAGAAATTGCACTAAGCGATAAGGCCGCCTTTTGTACATTAATTACTTATTATTATATTATAATAATATTAATTACTTATAATGTCTGTAAAACCCTGGTGTACAAATAAAGTATTTATCTATCTATCTATCTATCTATGCCCCTTTTTATATTAACTTTTTTTTAAATTCAGATTTTGAATCCAATATTTAATTACTAAGTCACAAAAATGCCATCGTTTTGGTGATCATCAGCCGAGTATTAGACGGACATAGACTTCAAGACAGACTACAACCAATTTATGAAATCCTGAAGTTATAGACACTCCAATTTCAGTGACTTCAACATTGTTTTGATCCTCTTTCGTTCATCTGAAAATTTTCCTTAAATAATGAAAAGCTTGTTTTTATATTAACGAAAGTGGACGAACGAACAATCTACTAAAATATTAAAGGAATATCAAAAGACGCCGACGTCTCTTAATACAATTTTAAAATGTACATACGAATATATTGAATGTTGACTTCTGTAAGCTGTATCTTACATTTATTGTCAACATAAATATGTTATTGAAGATTCGTTGGTAAATTTTGATAAATAAAAGATCCCTTTTAGCTGGACACAGAGAATGTTCGTTGAGTGTTCGTTTACAGAACTCTAATACATAAACTGGAAATGAGCAAAAGTAGAGGTCACGTGGAGGTCGAATATCGACCGATTTAAACGTCTTGTTTTAATTCAATGACCAGTATAACTTGAACTTTTGTATAGATTTTTGTACCATGACAGGTTAAAATTTATAGGTGTAGCCGGTTTTACAAAAAATAACTTTTAAAATAAAATAAAAAAATTAACTTTCTGCACTTCCTTGTATAATATGCTTCCTTGCGCCGTATTTACTTTGTTAAGGGGTTCAAAAAATTATCTTCTATTCGGATTCGAATATAAAAAACAGTCTGAGATTAATTCCAAAAAAATTATGTCTGTAATAAATTTTACATAGCAATTAAAAATGACAATGAAAAAATTATAGTAAGTAGAAATTAAAAACGGCCATTTAAAAAATAAAGTGGGTATTTAATGTGCCAAATGAATGATGACGGCAATCAAGGTCTGCAACTTATTGATTGGGACAAAGGGCAACTATATAATTGACAATTTAATTTGACTGTTGACCAAGTTCACCCAATAAGTGTTGCAAATTATAAATAGAATTAGACTTAAATTAAACTGCAAAAATTTTGAAATGTAACTAATTGTTTAGTTATTGTTTTCTTTTCAGTAATTAGTAATAATTTTTACTACTCTATAAAAAGGTGGTAATAGTTATCAATTTCTTATCCTTTTCCCAAATTTATTTAGGGTTAGCGCAATTTTTTTTCTTCCATCCACCACATATCACTGGTCAGTTGACTGCTTACATCCTTCTTAGCCATACCTTCTTTCACGCACTCTGTTTATCTTTTCTTAGGTTGTCTAATTTTAGTAAACCCGTCAAGTTCGAGGAATGACAATTGTTTTTTAACTGAATTTTTTCAACAACAACGCTGAACATCACCATCTTGCTTGAAATGCATTGGGGGAATGGAAACGAAGACATTAGTTTATTTTAATCAGCTGCCTAGTGTCTCATCATTAAACTTAATGACTTTAACGAAACTTAAACGAATTTTGTCAAATCACCGCTTTAAATATTGGACCAAACTGATAATAAAACTTTAAACGTTAACGAAAATGAACTTCAAAGGTTTTTTTTCTAATAATTCATAAAACTGTATTTTTTTTAGGTATGTGGGGTTCCAGGAAATGACAAAGCCTATAATTCTGATTCGAGACCCTCAGTTAATGAAGAATATCGTCGTCAAAGACTTCGACCACTTTGTCGACCATAAAGAATTCTTTAGCGTAGAATTCGATCCACTTTTTGGTGGCAGTCTGTTTTCAATGAACGGTAGGTTTGATAAAATAATATAGTTCTGGGTCTAGGTGTTCTATGTGCCTGTTTCATGTATGTTAGGCCCCCGCGACACAGGATATGTTCCTGGAGTTGTAAAACAAAAGAAGAGAAAGAAAGTGACAGATTGACGGCAATATTCGTTTATGTAAGTGAGACTTAAGTTAAAGTTAGCCTTACATAGGCGTTTAATACTTGGTACATATAGCTCAGATGTTCCTATTTTAAATACCAGCCGTACATAAATTGTACAATATAGGTATTTTCTAACTAGTTTTTGTATAATCTGTAAAATAATAAACAAATTTGCCTATGCCTACCCCTTCAGGGATCTCCGCATGAGTGCGTGTATGTGCCTATAGGTGTGTGTGCGTATAGGTGTGTGTGTGTGTGCGCACGCATGTGTGTGTAGGTATATTTTTTATTATATAAATATATGTATCCTCATTTATAAGCCACATTATTCTCCTATCTTTGCTCTTCCGGGTTCGTCTAAACATTCAGGTATGATACTAACGGAAACGACGTAGTACCATAGATTGTCGCTTCAATTGGATAACGTATTATATCCTATCATTTATATGATGGGGGGATTTGTTGGTCCTAAAAATATCAACGGTGTTATTACTAAAACGTGACCCGACAACTGTATATTCATACATTCAAATGCGAGTGATCAAAAAAAATACGGTTTTACTTACGTGTTCATTTTGGGGACTGGGGAAGTTAGGCCTAACAGCTTGCCATCATTTAGGTAAAACGTTTTACTACCCGATATGGACCCCAGTTAGGTCAGAATTTATTTGAGTATCTCCATGACACAGTATACAACAGGGAGAGATGGCGGGAGATTGTACGAAAGGTTGTGTCCGCCTCTACCACCGACGTGGACATCTCAATGTGACCACAACCGCTCTGCCAAGAGCGACAGAATAGAGAAAAATAGTACCAGTATTTAGCAAAATTTTTGAAAAAAATATGTATGTATAAATATAAAAATATGACCAAATGCAAAGCTTTATTAATAATAATAATTTATTACACAATAGACAATTTGGTTTTACAAGGGGTCGCTGATGCCAGTGTTGAGTTAGTAAAACATATATTTGATGCCCATGGGAGGATGCCCACGATTCTCTAGGTATCTTTTGCGATTTATCTAAAGCTTTTGATTTTTGAATTACTGCACTATGGCATCAAAAATAAAGCACTAGAACTTCTTGCTTCATATCTATATAATAGGATTCAGAAAGTTGAGATTAATGGTGAGCGGTCTCTAGGCTCTGTGGTAGAAATGGGCGTTCCGCAAGGTTCTATTCTCGGCCCTTTTCTTTAGTATATATCAACGATTACCTCACCTTGTCAAAAACAATCTCGAGATTGTGTTGTTTGCAGATACATCACTATTATTTAGACTAAAACGGACACTTACTACTTTCACAGACGTAAACAACGCGTATAGTATCACAGACGTAAAAGAGTAGTTCATTGGTTTGACGTCAACAATTAGCTTTTAAATGAACAAAAAACAAAAAAGTGTATACGTTTTACGATGCCAAACGTCGAGCCAGTGAAAACTACTGTGATGATTAAGGATGTCGGGTTAGACCTTGTGGACACTACGACATTTTTAGGTATAACACTAGATTCTACAGGGGGCCCATATATTGATAAGTTATCAAGTAGACTCAACTGAGCAGCATACGCAGTAAGAAAAGTTCGAGAGTGGACGGACGTTGATATAGCACGACTTGTTTAATTCAGTTATTCTCATAGCATAATGTCGTACGGTATTCTACTGTGAAGGAATGCTGCCGATATTCAAACTATTTTTGTACTGCAAATTTTTATAATTAGCGCAATCGTTGTTCATTGAAGCAGAAATTTAAAGAAATGAACATAATGACAGTGGCATGTATATGACTGTATATGAAAATATGTTCATAAAAACAAAGATAGTATTTGTGATGTACATTCTATACCAGAAATTTAATTTTTATTAAATTTATTTGCTTACTATTTGACAAAACAAAGATTGTTGCTATTGTGTTTGTTGATCTATGACTTTAGAGTCTACACAAAAGACGATTTCAAACAATTAAAAAAAAAATGAAATAAAGAGAGTTTGAGTTGTGTATATCTAGATTATTTTCACAAATGATATTCCACCTTAAAAAAAAAACATATGACCCCGTACTACTGATCTGGGGAAACTCACACGAACTTCAAACATTCAAAAGAAGAACAGCTTCTATCATAAATGCCCGTAACCGCAGTTGTGAAGTTTAAGAAGAGTAGTAGACCATCGCAGTATTCCTCTTTTTCTATTTATTTATTTATTGATACATTATTCACATTTGGTGCATATGCGGACTTAATGCCAAGGGCATTCTCTACTAGTCAATCATTGGGTGAGGCAGAGAAAACATTTGTTTGCCCCGTGTCCCTCCTCGGAAATATATTATAGAATTGATTGCGTAAATTCCTTTTTTCTTTCTTTTTTTTCTTTTTTAAAAAGACAACTTCCGCACTAGGAATAAATATAATAAAATAAAATAACAAATAATAGTGTCGCGGGGGACTTTACAAACATACATGAAACGGACACAAAGTACACCCAGACTCAGAACAACAATTTGTTGATCTCACAAAGTGTTGTCCCATGTGGGGTTTGAATCCACAACACTCGGCGCAATAGGAAGCAAAATGCAGTGCAGTCAAAATTATTTAAATTTTACGAGAAGCTCTATCTAATATAAAAAAAATCTGTTTGAGTCAGTACTTAAACTAAGTTTTTTTTTTATTTTGAAAATTGCATGATATTTGTTTCCAGGAGATAAATGGCGTGAAATGAGGACAACGCTGAGCCCAGCCTTCACTAGTTCTAAAATGAAGTTCATGTTCCCCTTGATCAACGAGATTAGTCTCAACAATATACAATATTTAAATGGTACCAAATTCCTTACTGTCGTAATTCTGGAAATGACATGCGCAGACGAACTTAAGTAATAAAAATAATCTGTATTATTTCCTTAGATCACGAAGGTGAAGATATTGATGTAGATGATATTATACGCCGCTATACAAATGACGTCATAGCATTAGCAGGATTTGGGTTTCAAGTCAACTCATTAAAAGACAGAGATAATGAGTTCTATAAGGCTGGGAATGGCCTATTCGACTTTGACTTCAGACAAAGAGTGTTGATACTTCTTGAGGCTCAATTCCCTCAACTTATTAAGGTAAACTGACAGCAAGTCTTATTAAATATTAGCTGGTACCCGCGACTTCGTCCGCGTGGAATTTGAAAAGCGCTGGCTTAGTAGGTTCGATACCCTGACCAGACAAAATTTGAATGGGTTTTTTGAGAAAAAAAATAGCGGAAGTTATTCCTTATGTAGACAGCTACCTGGTAGTAAAATGTTATCGAAATCAGTAGAGTCGTTTAGAAGATCACCCAGAATGAACAGATAGATAGATAGACAGACAGACAAAAAAAATGGTTTTTAGGCATAGGTATCGTGCAATAACCGCGTGAGCATGAAAAAACCTATACTTTTGACATTACAAACGTACACTTCAATTTTATATATCATATGATAACAGAATTTTTTTTTAAACCCAATGAAATATCAATCATATTTTCATTATTTCACGCCATAGTATCAATAACGCTACTTACAGTAATTAAAAATCTAAAGGTAATCTAAAGGTAATCTTTGGTGTCCTTACTGGTATGATAATGACCCTGCCACCCAAACCACTCAGTGCCATGCGTACCTGACGCATATGTAGACAGCTACCTGGTAGTAAAATATTATCGAAATCAGTAGAGCTGTTTAGAAGATTACCCAGAATGAACAGACAGATAGACAGACAGACAAAAAAAGGTTTAGTTTTTAGGCATAGGTATCATGCAAATATCCGCGTGAGCATGAAAAACCCTATAATTTCGATCAGAAACTTGTTGAGCGAATGAATTACTTGTTTTATCAATATAATTTCTAATTTACTGTTGAATGATTTATATAGTACTACTCATTCTGTTGCAAAAACCAATAATGTTTAAATAATTTATAATAACTTTTGATTTCAGAAATTTAGACTTCGTCTTTTCAAAGACAGTGTATACGATTTCTTTTTTAAAATAGTGGCATCTGCTTTGGAATACAGGAGAAAAGAAAATATAGAACGGCCTGATATGATACAGTTGTTGATGCAGGCTAAAAGAGGTAGGTCAGACTTCTAAGTTTTTGTATGAAGTATTTGTAAATCTATAAAAAAATACGAGACAAGTAAAAATTACATCTGTAGATAAAGGAATGGTTGACAGTTTCATAAGAATAGTTATGATTGTTTTAACTGGTTTTCAAAGAAGCTACTTTAAGCTTAGGTAGTCACTGTTTTAAAATATTTATTCTCTAACAGTTAGTAAGTTAGGCCGTAGTAATGTCTTAAGAGAAAACTCACATTCCATCTTTAGAAGTTTACAAACACCAAAAATCTGATTGGAAGATGTTTTTTTATGTAAAAGATTCTGAAACCGTTTTCTCGTACTCCGAGCTGAGAAATTTGTTAATACTCATACCTAGGTCAGTGTTTTTATTTTTTATGATTATAAAAATATTTAGAAATTAATATTAATGAACACTTAACTTAAAACAATAAATATATTGTTGATAAAAAAAGTATTGTAACGATAAATCACTGTGGTCCTATGAGTTTGTATATTTGTAGTAATGATCTTCATACTATTTAATTTCCTAGAATGGAAACTGGAAGAACTAACTAGCCAAGTTTTCATCTTCTTCACGGCTGGCTTTGAAACTTCGGCTTCATCATTGTTTATGACCATTCATGAACTAGCACTTAATAAAACTATACAAGACAGATTGTACGAGGAGTGTAGACAACTGAATGAAGAAAAGGAGCTTACATTTGAAACTATTAGCGAATTAAAATATTTGGATGCTATTCTCAACGGTATGTACTCTGAAATGGCTTAGTACGTAAAGAACGTTCATGAAAGGCCGAATTAAAACTGTGTATAATTTGTACTACTAACTAAGTCTGTGCCTGGAACAATGTCCACTCATGTCATTATTTTCTTGGATGTTCAAAAATATTTTGATAGAATATCCCATATTGTTAAAGGACAACCGAAATTTTTCAAAGGGTATTTGGAAATCTTTCATTTTAAATAAATGAACATTTTTTCTCTTTTCTAAAAGATATGAACTGTAATTTGTTTTTCTACTTACCATAGAAAAAAATACGGATCAATGTCGTACCAATTTCCATTCTTTAAAGTTTGTAAAACAGTTAATAGAAAAACCAAAAGGTTGTGAGTTTAGTAAATAGTGCTTTTAAGATACTATGATAGCTTAACCAAAGTTAGAACTTTTCTAAGTTTTAGAAGAATCCTTAAGTAGTAGACTTGTTTGTTTAATATACTTCCCGTGCGTGAAGTTCCAGAAGTATAAATACTCTTGGCCAAGGCTGTATAGATACATGTATGGTTTTACTTACAGAGACTCTAAGAATTTGGTGCCCGGCTATACTTTTAGACAGAAAGTGCACAAAAACTTATGAACTGCCTCCACCCAGGGAAGGTGGTAAACCCTACGTAGTAAGTACCATGTCATTTATTAATTCACTGAATAATATATATGGTTTATACCACGGCCAAGAAAGTGCAATGTTGGACGTCCAAGAATTAGATAGATCGATGACCTTATAAAATTTGAGGGTAGTTAGTGGATGCAGGCTCTAAGTCATTGAAAGAGGCTCTTTTGATTTTGAAACATTCTCTTTCTGAAATAATAATAATGATGTAATTATTTTAAAAAAATAGCCGAACGAAAAAGACAGTTTCGTTTTTTGGAAAACTGTAAATTGGTAAACTTCCTTTGGTAGACTTGACTAGAAAATATTTAATTTGTTTTAAGTTTCCTTTTTATTAGGTAAACACCGAGTAGTTTAGTCTCTTCGAAGTCCACAAACCCAAGAGGTAGATGTCTGGTGACCTGTATCACCTGTACACTGGATACTTGCATGCGTGAATGTGTTAAATGAATTACTGTCCCTAATATTATCAGGATCTTCAATCAACTGTTGTTGATTGACACCTCTACATATCTTTTTCGCAGTTAAAACCAGGTGATATTGTATACAACTTAGTGAACCAAGTACAAATGGATTCAAAGTACTGGCCCGAACCACACAAATATAACCCTGACAGATTTCTGGATGAAAATAAAAATAATATAACTCCATTCACATTTATGCCTTTTGGAGTTGGACCTCGAGGTTGCATTGGTAAGAAAGATATTTATAAAATTCCTGAGTGAAAAGTTAGTAGGCTGTCTAAACCCACGCCTAAGACTTTATTTTTTGGAGTATTTACCCAACATGTCACAAATAGTTAACAACTCGTTACAGCTCGAGAAATAAATAAACTTCGAGAAAATGACCTTTAATATTAATTCCAACTTTCTTCATATAGTGATTTATTCTGAATGTTGGATGCAATAAAATTATGTCTTTCATTGTCATCCCACACATCCAAGGTTATGACATACCTCCTCTTTATCTCCAGTCACGAGGTAGACACACGGGTGCGCTTCACATTTTCGGAAGTCTTCTGCGTTCTTATTCCCCTTTCCCCATCTGAGAAAATGTGGCATCCTTTACCCTAGATAGCTCACTTTAACTCATTTTCTTTTCCTATTTTATTTTTCTTGTTTTATTCCATTTCAGGACGATAACATTCCCAAGGAAAGTCGGTATCATAAAAATAAATGGTATTAAAATTATGATTGTCTTATTTTTAGTCATTAAAATATTCGGGACGAGGTGCGAAATATTACATAAAGGAATATCCAGAACAATTTTCCCTTTTGATTTATTTAAATATTAGTCTAAAGCAGAGTTTAAAACAACAAAGTTTAGTCTACGACCCTGGTGTCATAGTTGAACACTTCTCCTATTAACGGCGATTTAATTATTATTCCAAAAAAAAAGGGATTATATACTACAGAAGTTTTTATTTACAGGTTTGCGGTTTGCGATCTTGCAGTTCAAAGTCCTTATGTTCCATTTAATATTGAACTTCGACATAGTGAAAACTGATAAGACTTCAGACCCGATTAAACTGCAAACACGCACTTTCAACATAGGAGCAGATGGTGGAACTTCAGTACAGTTTAAAAGAAGAGATCCAAAATGAAATGTTTCTTTTAGAACTTATAAATTTATTTTTATTAATTTTGTATGTTAAGTAATAATCTGTTGTTATAATTTATTGTGATGTTAAGCTTTCGAGATACAACGAAACTTGAGAGACAATCAGAATAGAACTTTGTTGTATGATTTACTCATTAAGACTAACCTTGGTCACCGAGTGGTGGCCCGTGCGACCTGGCTGAAACTTCAACCAATTCAAAGGTATCCAAAATATATATCGAAATTGCGTTAAGTCCCGTACCTACGTTACAATTAGTTATGAATATTCTAAGAAAACCGTTAAACATCTTGTTCTTGTTAAGTTGAATACATTATTTTATTGTAGTGTCTTATGTTGCGCTAGATGGCGTTGTGCAATATTATAAGTCGATGTTAAGAGTCTCAAGAGGTCAATGACACCTGGTGTTATTTGTACATTGTGTGTGGTGTTGCGCATACAGGGATCCTTAGTGCTATGTCTTGGTCCCGATATAATATAGGTCAGGTATTTCCTACCAGGTTTTTGTATTTAGTATCCTGTAGGAATATATCCCGCACAGTTCATTCCAACCTCGCCACAAACACATGATTCCTATAAATTCACGAAAAATCTTGCGAAGTTTTTGCTTTTACAAATAAAGTACTCATTCATTTTTAAATACAGCTCCAGAAATAAAAAAGAGAAACAGAACGAGAAACAAACTAACCTATATGTACAAAAAGGCGTCGAAAAATCCTTTAATAATAATATTAAAAATAGTTCAAGCGATCATCTTTCTTACTCTTACTACAGTAAGTAAGTATAATTACGACTACACGTATAAATATTGTAGGTTTAATTATCAGTACAGTAGTCTGAACTTTATATATAAGTAAATAAATAAGTCATCAACAATAAACAGATCAACACTTATGTGTCACACCGATATCAGTTGTTTTGTTACAAATGTAAAAATAACAATGGAAAAATATGTTAAGTTTAAAAGTATATTATCAATAATAAATATTTACATACAAAGCTTATCAATTATTGCGAAATGACCCAGCTCATGAACGGAAGCGGTTCAGAAAATAATTAATTTCTGAAAATGTAAAACTTGAAACTCCGTTTTGTTTTTACTTCGCTAAGGCTATCTATAACTAAGAAATATATAACAAAAGAAACAATAGAGTGGAAGTCATTTTTGCGGTATTAAACAATATTTTAATACCGAAAAAAATGACTTACGCTTGATACCATTGCTTGATACGCTTGAAAAAAGATCACGGCCTCCGTTTAGACTGGTCAGTAAGCTAATCCATAACGTTACATTCTTCAATGAAATTAACATTGCGGGAGTAAATCCACATGGTCAAGACAGCATAAGTCACTCAGTTGCTTATGAGTTTTATGGTCTGTCAGTTGATCCATCATCATCGTCAGCTTATCGCAATCCACAAGTGATCCATAAGATTTGTTAATAACACTTTTAGTTTAGAGAAAATAATTAGCGCAAAATTTTGTTAAAAAAATCTTACAAAAAACATATCCATCTTTATGAGAAAATGTACCATTAAATTTTGCTCAGCCTTAAGTCTAACGACTATTTTGTTCTTCTAAATTAATATTTTTTACTTACGCGGTGTTAGAACTTTACTGAAGTTATGTATCTTTACTCTTACGCTGGTTACTCAACTAACTAATTTAATTGCATGTTGCTTATGCTTCACATCCTACAGTTATTATTAGTTTGAACGTGACAGTTGACTCAAAGAGCCGTTTGTAACAGCACCTACCATGTTGTTTGAGATAATAATATTAGTACTAACCACCATTGTGGGCTATTACCTTTATGCTTATAAGAGAATTCATACCCACTTTAAACAGAGAGGTGTCAAATTTATCCCAGGAGTCCCATTGTTTGGAAATGTGTTGGGCCTAACATTTTTAAAGAAGCATTTTTTCGATGAATTAGATGACGTTTACAATGCATTTCCTAATGAAAGGTGAGTTTTGGTATTTATTTTTAACTCCTACAAAAGAAACAGATCCCCAAACCAACCCAATTTAAGTGTACAATAGCTTGTTCCAAAGAGTATTTCTAAGACCAAGAAGGAACGAACAACCAACGTAATGAACCCTCAATAGGCAATCACGTTTGCGCATAACTTGATGGGTTTAAAGTTAGGTGATTTCCAATACTTGATGGCAAATCTGTTGACTGAGAATAACTTCCATCAGTTATTAAATAAATAGAGTTTTATTATGGTTTAATGATACTGTGAATTTATTACGTTTCTCCAAAGAGGTCTCATAGATTGCTGCTTCTTAATTCGTTTTATCTTCACGATCGTGATAAATCCTGGAAGTGTACTGTGTGATTTTAATGTTTTGACAAAATCAATAGCCCGCGATTGAAATGTGATTTAATGACTTAAAAAAATGACTTATTACTTTTAAAATATATCCTTTTTAATCATTTTTGGTAAAAACCACGTTGCTAAAGGGGAAACTATTATTACATTGTTTACTTTTATTGCTATAATGCAAACCACACAAAACTGCATACTTTTTTAAATCGTTATATGATTGTGTATTTACATTACAATTGATAACAACAACCTATCACCACTTACCTCAATCATCAAGGACTTCCATCCCATGGTCGTGCTAATAAACAGTATGACGTCCGTGGCTTGCATCGGTATTAGAAAAGATCTTTAAGATTACCCTTCTGGATTCTTAAGGTATTGAATTTTGTACTTTCATTCGTTTAGATAAGGTTTATATTTTAGTAATCATGACTACGGCTACTAGCAATAAACTCAATTAAGGTGTATTTATCCTGCAGGTTTGAAATTACGTCTAGGGTATAGTAGCAATCTTAGTAACCGAACTGTAATGTGTTTGTATCATTTTTCTTTGATATAAATGGCCTCTTTCCTACCAACTAAGTAAAAATTAGGCCTATGTGTGAACTTTTAGTGAACCTGTTTGAAGATTTCTCAGTTGTTATAAATTTTGGGTATTCTATCAGTGATCAGTGCAAATTCGGACATGTCGGCAGTCAACCGTTTTCGCTTGCTTTAAAACGTTTACACTTAATTTCTCTTCTCCCTTTGATCATAATTTCTTCTAATTAAGATTTCATCGCGTTAGCCCAAGAATCGAAAATCCGTTGGGGAAAACGAGTTCTTGAGTGGAGACCGCGTCTCGGCAAACGTAGTGTAGGATGCCCACAGGCCAGGTGGAGTGACGATTTGCCCAAGATGGCTGGCAGGAGCTGGATGCGAGAAGCCCAAAATCGATCTAAGTGGCGTGCATTGGGAGAGGCCTATATCCAGCAGTGGACTGCGATAGGCTGATGATGATGATGATGATGAAGATTTCATCAATTTCAAGGTCATTGATCCTGACTTTTGAGCTAGAACTTGTGGAACAATTTTTATTTCAAATAAATAATTGTGAGATGAGAACAATAATTTGTTCTGGAACTGAGTGTAATTTATCTGTAACATGTTTTCGTAAGTATGTTTATCAGCAGTATGGTTATCACATTACTGACTCTGTCATAGTATGGTTCAGACGACTATATGTGAGGCTTGCTTATTGGTGAATTTTAACTCTCGTTATAGTCAAGCTATTAGTATACAGAATTTTCTTATATTACTCATCATAATCACATCAACAGCCTATAATGGTCCACTGCTGGACAAAGGCCTCTCTTTAAAAAGGAGGTTTTGGCCTACTATTACGACTTATCTTACCATTAACTTAAAAAGAATCTTATTCGACTCATACTATATTTCTTTCCTAATCTTTTACCCTTTTGTTTTTTTTTTTTCCGTGCGGAAATCCCCTCGGATACCACCTGTCGGTGGCATGTCGGACTCGAACCGACTAAAAGTCTCGGGTACTAATAGCCGGGGAACCAGGTATACCCTAGAAAGGAAGTCCCTGGTGCTCTAATCTTTTACCCTTAATAACTTAACCGCTAGGTACTGTTTATAGGACGAAGGTTTAAAAAATGTAGCAATTAGTAAACCAATTATTTATATTTATCTATCGCTTACTCAGGCCAAGTAATTTGCTGCTTTCTCTCTCCTATTATTACCCTCTTGAATCTTATGTAGTATCACTGAAATTGAGCGATTTTCTTACTACTTATTAGTCTGATTGGACTTCTGATCGATGTTTATCGATTAAGACAAATTGTTCAATCTAATTTATGTTACTTGAGCACTATCAACCATTGTTAGTCCGTATATTTTTTGATAAAAAAAGAATACAGCGGTAGATAGCAAGGCACCATGTCGGCAAATTTAGTTTAGTCATTATTTTTTTAACAAAAAATCCGTGTAGTGACGGATTAAGAACACTCAGTGTCACCACCTCTATTCATCCCGTGGGTGTCGTAAGAGAGCAAACTACTCCGAAGAACAAAAAAAAAACAAAGAGTGTATATTTAATCATGCCATTGTTATCTGTTGATTGAAAAGAGGGGCCGTGAGTTTGTTTGCCCTTTCTTCTCATGAGGCTCAACCCTTTGGAAATAGGCGGTTGTAGATCGGCACAGGTATATAAGAGATTTTTGATACGTGTATATTTAGTTTGCTAAATATTTGACTAAACAGAGATTGTTGCTATTGTGTGTGTTGATTTATGACTTTAGAGTCTACACAAGAGACGATTTCAAATAATTTATGAACATTACAGCACTGCAAAGAGAAGACAAACTTGACACAAACCGTACAACAACCCGTCTGGTCAGCGTGGTACAATAGTGCAAAACTTCCTCTCTAAGGAGAGGCCTATGTCAAGCAATGAACTATTAACCGCTGTTGATGTGATGTGAAAGAATAAATACTAAACTATGTTCTATAAAAAATCCATTACAGGGAATGCTTCAAACACGCTAGTCTGACCAAGACAAATCTTACATAAAATTTACATGGTAGAATGTATTTGCTGCAACCCTGATGAAAGCTGGGTTGAACTTTGTGTTTATAGTTATGATCATCTTTAATATTTTTAGATACGTGGGTTTCCTAGAGTTCACATTACCAGTGATCTTGGTTCGAGACCCAGAGTTGATCAAAACTATCGTTGTTAAAGATTTTGATCACTTTACTGACCATAGGGAAATATTAAGTGAGGAATTGGACCCGCTTTTCGCTGGGAGCTTGCTGTTGATGAAGGGTAAGTACTAAGAATAGTTTAAGATAAAAGATGGGACTTAAAAGTTATATTTACTACTAATTTATTTATTGAAGTCAGAAAGCCAAGAAGAAAATATACTTATTCAGTGCTGCCAATGTCAAAAATCAGAGGTCCCTATCCTAATAACAATTTAAACATAGAACGGACAGACGATTGCACGATTCTTCGATTCGATTGCGGTGTCCTTAACCATAATTTGTTTTCTTTTTTTACGTTTGAAAATAATATGATTTATTTTCAAACGTAAAAAATATAAAATAAATATTTTAAAATTATTTTGGCTAATGAAGACATCAGCCAAAATAATTTAAAATATTACCGGTTGCGCCAACCTTATAATTAAGGACCATGGAGTAGACAATGATGATGATGATACTGAATTGCACCGCTAGAGTTCACTAAACATATAAAAACACTGGTGATGATTTTAGTCAACGCTTGACCGATCATATTCAAATCATAATCGGTCAGTTACCATATGCTGTTTTTATTAAGGCCACCATATGCTGTTTTTATCCTGAGGCTGAGGTACCAAATATAGATTATTTTATTTATATTTTAGCCTCAGAATACAAATCATGACATCTCAGCCCTCCTTTAAAAACAAAACGTAAAAACAACGTTTAAAATATAGTATTAATTCTCAATAAAGTTAATGAACACTTTTACCTTAATTTCAAAAATAAAAAGAGTTGTTGTAACTTTCAGTTCATAAGTACTTTTCTCAGTGATCTGACATTTTACTCGTAGATTAAGCAGACTTTACTTTAGCCGTAAAATATATACGAGAAAATAGTTACAGTTCAAAAGGGAAAATGTTTCTCGCTGTGTTTATTTTTGATAAATTGAGATATTACACTAAATATTTTTTGACAGGAGAAAAATGGCATGACATGAGGACAACTCTCAGCCCAGCCTTCACTTCTTCCAAGATGAAATACATTTTACCTTTAATGTCTGATATCACTAACAATATAGTGGAATATTTGTATGGTATGTGAATATCTAATACTAGCTATAATAATAATATTTTCGGACATCTGACACACAACGCTATCTAGTTTCAAACTAAGCACAGCTTGTACTATGGAAGCTATATTGACCGATAGATTACTTTTATACTTTGTTTTTGTAATTACATATATATTATACTTAAAAAGCACCCAAAATCCAAAAACGAGTATTTGCAGATCATACAAACACTTGGTCCGACCCGGGAATCGAACCTGAGACCTCAGCACAGCAGTTTCCTACGCTACCACTGCTCCACTTGTAACAGTTATTTTTTAGTATATTTGTAATGCGTACGGTCTTGTTAAAAGCGACACCTATTGGCCGCGTCGCATTGTTGTTGATTTATCTAAAGTAGTTTATAACTACAGTATTGATCTTCTTCGTTCACTGTCGGACCACTAGATGGCGTTTGATTGTGGATAAGTCAGTTTATTGATTTGTCGTGACAAATTGTATAGGTATTGAGAGTGTTTTGTTTGTTGTGTGATTTGATTTTCTTATATATTAACTGTTCAAAAGTACCCACGAGAGTGGTGAGTATGGTCTTAATTATTTTTTTTACCTATTTGTTTCTGGAACCTGATTAATTATATGAGTGCTAATCCATTCGTAGGGTCCCAGATTTCGGGGTCAAGACGGTCAGTCTCAGACGGCGTGCTTGCTCGTTTGTGGCCTTCTGGTTCAGATTCAAGTTTCTCGGTACCCTCTGGCAAACTGGTGATTGCGCGACTCACGACGCAAGCGGACAGCCGTACCCAAGGGTTACGTACTTACTTATAAACTTATAAATGCCAATTGTGAACTTTTCTCAATATCTAATATAAATAGGTGTGGTGGTGGTGGGTGGTAAGTAACCTCCTGGAGTGAAGACGAGGAGGCTCCGAGCACCATCAGCTCGGCTCTGACGCGCTCCGCTGCGGTTTTTCTTATACCCTCTGTGACTTCCCTTCGCGGCACCGTGCGACTAACGTGTGACTTCATGTGCTAACAATTTAAATATTGTTTTCTGTTTTTCTGCGACTAGTTTCCGGCTTGCGGGCGGCTAAAGGTTGTGTATAGTGTTTTAAAGAAAGTCAGTAAGTTTTTATTGTTTTTAAACAGTAATATAGTGCTGAATTATTTTATTACGACTATTGGTGAGTAAATTTATTTTCTTTCTAAAAGTGGGTAGGAGGTATCCTTTGTTTATATTGGTTTTTCTCTGCGTGTTATTTATTTTTAAACCTGTTCCTTTTGAAATTGTTGTTTGGTGTGTCTTTGTTTGGCTATGTCGGTCGTTAGCGAGTTGCCGGACCCCGGCGGTACAAGTGAATTTCTAACACCAACCGGGAAAAGGACATTTATCGAAATGTCACCTACGGATTTCTCGCCGAAAGACAGTAGCCGTAGGCGCGTTATTAATTCGGACTTAAGTGGAAATGTTTCGTCTCCTACCGGTCGTGATAACTGTGGGGAGTACAATTACTGTGACTTAGTATCACAGGCCACTGATTATTTAGCAAAAATTAATGAATTAGTTAATGATCAGGGATCTCGGATGAATGTAGGTAATAAAACGGCGATTATGGATATTACTCAACGAATTACCGGTATCGTATCTTTGTTAGCAATAAAATCCTCTAGCAACGAAACGAAGTTAGCGAATTTCGAGCGACAAATGGAGGGTATCGCCACTCAAAAAACGAGTTTAACGTACGCGGACAAACTTAAGCTTCGATTACCACCTAAATCTGCTCCGTGCCCGGTACCTACTGAAGCGCGCGTTCCTAGGCCTTGTGTTATTGCCTTATGCGTATTAACTTTTACATACTGCGCTGATGTAACTATTGGTCGCGGATCTATCACTAACACTCGTAGATGTGATTGGTGGAATGATAGATTAGCCGAACTACGTAGAAGCTACCGGAAAGCTCGTAGAAAATTAAACACTATTAAAAAACATAACGTAACAGGAGATTTGTACAACAATGCTCTCATTGCTCTTAGAGTTGCCAGGTCCCACTACAGAGCTGCTGTGGAAAAATCCAAGGGAAACTTAATTCAGAAACTTGTTGATAAACTCGATAGAGAGGGCCCGTGGTCACCTTTGTATCACGAATTTAAGGCAAATAGATCAATCGACCTTGCATACATACAGAACATCAAAATTAATAACAGATATACCACAGGAGTAGAACAAACAGCAGAATATCTTTTAGACTCACTCGTACCTGACGATCGACCGGAAAACGACACTGATCATCACCGACAGATCAGGCAGTGGGCCATCGAACCACCACTGTCTCCAATGTCTGATTTACCATCTTCAGACGAATTTCTCGGTATCATTAGATCCTTGCCGCTAAACAAGGCTTCGGGCGATGATAAAATATCTAACAAAATGATAAAAGAAGCTTGTAAACTTTCGGGTGACACGATTTTCACTGTCTTTAAACGTTGCATTGCTGAAGGAATATTTCCTCGTATATGGCGGTGCGGTAATATTCGTATAATACCAAAAAGTGGCGACAAGCCACCGGATGATCCTAAATCCTACCGACCAATCACATTATTACCATCGTTAGGAAAGCTTTTAGAACGTCTTGTAGTGCCCCGGCTTCTGCCAGGTGGAGTCAAATTTCATGATAGACAATTTGGATTTACGTTGGGTAAATCGACAGCTGACGCTGTTATATCGGTTAGAAAGTTTGTCACAGAGTCAAAATTTCAATACGTGCTGGCTATTTTCTTAGATATATCTGGCGCCTTCGACAACGCATGGTGGCCCATGCTGTTGCTGAAATTAAAATCACGGGGGTGCTTTAAAAATATTTATTCCCTTATCTCTTCGTACTTTTCACAAGGTACAACTAAACTAAGACTTGGTCATCATTCGGTGTCGAAGGCGCTTACAATGGGATGTCCTCAGGGATCGGTGCTAGGTCCATACTTGTGGAATATCGGCTTCGAAGATTTTCTTGCGATACCAATACCATCCGGATGTACTCTGAACGCGTATGCTGATGACGGCTTATTACTGGTGGAATCTGATACTAGGGCGGGGCTTGAGAGATTAGCCAATAGATGTTTGAACTTTATATCTCAATGGGGTGAACGTAATCGCTTAACTTTTGCACCCAACAAAACCTTCCAGCTACTTTTAAAAGGTAACCTCAAATCACCGCCGAGCATTAGATTTGACAATGTTACTGTAAAAAATAAAACTACAGTGTGTTATCTAGGATTAGTTTTAGAAAGAAACTTTTCATTTATCGAACATATTAAAATAGTTAATGAAAAGTCTAAAAAGAGTTTCTGTGCATTGACAAGGATATCAACTGCGACATGGGGTCTATCATTTAATACATTAAAGATCATATACGGAGCTACTTATTTAGGTTCTATGTGCTATGGTGCACCTGTATGGGCCGATAGGGCGACCGTAGGCGCTGTCCGTCGCAAACTGTTACAAGGCCAACGACTTGCACTGATATTCTTGTGTAAGGCATATAGGACGGTTAGCACTTAGGCTTTGCCGGTGTTGGCGGGTGTGCTTCCGGTCGATCTCGAGGTGCAGAGACGTGCAGCCATGTATTATTCAAGACAACAAAACATGGAATGCGATTTTTTGGGCGCGCGGGATCGCGGTAAAATTACAAGATTGCTTCAACAGCAGCCCGTTGTCTATAATGACCTCATAGACGAATGGCAACAACGCTGGGATGAATCATCCAAGGGGCGCCATCTTTACCAATTCTTTCCATCTGTTCGCGAACGGTTGTCGGGGATATGGCTTGAGGTGGATCATTGTGTCGCTCAATTTCTTACGGGTCATGGTAACTTTAAGAGCAAGCTTTATTCATTTAAATTAGTCGAGTCACCATTGTGTCAATGCTCAACACCTAACTCTCACTATGAACAGTCTGCTCATCATATCCTCTGGGAATGTAGTCTTTGGTATAATGAACGTAATATAATGCTGAATAGCTTGCAGGTGACATCTGGGGCGGTATACTATGGGGATCTTGTGTCAACTAGGGTGAATTTCCGTGCGTTTAGGCGATTCTGCCATACATATTATAGAAATCAAACATAGCTCACGTAGGACCCGTAATATTTGTGGCCGTGGTGCTTCCCTGTTTAAAAGGGTGTATGCCCATTTTACTTCATTTTGTCTCCCGCTTTGCTAAGGAGGGAAGTGGATTTACTGTATTTCCAACTCCTCCAATTTTCTTCTGATTAATTTCGTTGCGGGTTCCAAGACAGTTTAATTTCTTCCTGGGACTTCCCGAGTGTCATAACTCGGTGTGTTCGTGGGTCACTGCTGTGGATCCTGGTGTACAGGAGTTACAGTGGTGGGCGTGTGGGTGGGATTAGTCCCTTTTTTTAATACCCTCTGTTTTTTTTTTTGTAACCTTAATTTTGTTTTTATTGAAATATACATGTATGTATAACTGAGGTGTAAGTTGTTTTCGTCTGGGGAATCCCGTAGGTTTCCCACACGCACACACATCTGTTCTCTTAAAAAGGCGCCCTGAGGTTATCTCATAAATCTCTCCACTGGGTCAGCCGGTGAGTAGTCCGCCTGAGAAGAAAAGCGGCTACACACTGAGGCAACAATAATAAATAATAAAAATCATTAAAATGTCTATAATTATTGCCCGCGGCTTCGCTCTGTATCTTATTTCGTGGTTTTAACTTTAAAAATGACGAAGTTTCATCCAATCATTCATCCCTTATACGTTCATCATAATTAAGTTTATTTGGATTTCCAACAAAAAATACACATCACATGCTAGTTACACAGCAAATAAAAAAATGGTGTCCTGTTGTTCCTAAATAATAGGAGACTACAACGTTAGGTACAAAAGTATGGGTGGCGGTGTTACGGCTTAAAGCCAAAAACACCGCCCCGGGACCCGATGGCATTCCTGGCCGAGCGTGGGTCCTGGCCTTAGTCGACGAGGCTCTCGAGCCCCGACTGCGAGGGTTCTTCAGCGCATGCCTCGAGCGGGGCCAGTTTCCGAAATTGTGGAGGACGGGGAAACTGGTCCTCATCCGAAAGGAGGGGCGCCCGGCGGACTCACCGTCCGCCTACCGGCCCATAGTGTTGCTTGACGAGGTGTGCAAGCTCTTTGAAAGAGTGATTGCAAGGCGCCTCGTCAAGCATCTCGTGATGGTTGGGCCGGATCTGGCGGACAACCAGTACGGTTTCCGTCAGGGGCGCTCCACCGTGGATGCGATCATGCGCGTGAAGGCTCTGGCGGAGGAAGCAGTCTCCCGGGGCGAAGTGGTGTTGGCGGTGTCCTTGGACATCGCCAACGCGTTCAACACTATGCCCTGGAGCTGCATCAGGGAGGCGCTCGTGTATCACGAAGTGCCTCTCTACCTCCGCCGCATAGTCGGGGCATATTTGTCGGAGAGAGCCGTCGTCTACCCCAGTAGGACCGGTCTCGGTAGGCGTGAAATGTCGTGCGGTGTTCCGCAGGGGTCGGTGTTAGGGCCACTCTTGTGGAACATCGGCTACGACTGGGTGCTTCGTGGTGCCTTCTTGGATGGTGTCGCCGTCGTGTGCTACGCGGACGACACACTCGTGACGGCGCGCGGCAAGACGCACCACGAGGCAACCCTGAGGGCCACGGCCGGGGTTGCCCAAGTCGTTGAGCATATCCGGCGGCTGGGTCTCGAGGTGGCTCTGCACAAGTCCGAGGCCCTGTTCTTCCACGGGCTTCGGAGGAAGCCGCCTGAGGGATCTAGCCTCACGGTAGGAGGCACTCGCATCGGCATCGAGCCCTCGATCAGGTATCTGGGGCTCGTACTCGATGGCCGATGGGACTTCGGATATCATTTCCGAGGTCTGGTCCCTAAGTTGGTTGGGGCAGCGCGTGCGTTGGCGCGGCTGCTGCCCAACATGAAGGGACCCGATGACTCCTGCAGGAGACTCTACTCGGGGGTTGTGCGGTCCATGGCCCTTTACGGGTGCCCGGTATGGGCGGGGGCCCTGAAGGCCAGCAACGTCGCGTCGAATGCTGGCCATCAGGATCATAAGGGGGTACCGCACGATCTCCTTTGAGGCAGCGAGTCTCCTGGCCGGAACTCCACCGTGGGACCTGGAGGCGAGAGCCCTTGCGGCACTGTATCAGTGGCGCAAGGAGGCGCAGGAGTTGGGTCGATGCCCCGAGATTCGAGAAATCGATGCTCGGAAATCCCAACTCCGCCAGGTCATCATAGGGGAGTGGAGGGAACGACTCGGGCAACCGAGCGCTGGGCACGCCGTCATTGCGGCGGTAAGACCCGTTATGGAGGATTGGCTCGAGAGGCGTCACGGGACCCTCTCATACCGATTGACGCAGGTGATCACTGGGAAGGGATGTTTCGGAGATCACCTGTGTCTGATCCGCAAGGAGCCAACGCCTGAGTGCCACCACTGCGATGGCCAGACCGTGGACACGGCTCTCCACACGCTGGCAGAGTGCCCGGCGTGGGTTGAGCAGAGGCGAGACCTCGTGGCGGCCATCGGAGTGGGAGTTCTCTTGCTCGATAGCCTGATTGCGGCTATCGTGCGGAGCGAGAGTGCGTATAACTCTGCCGTCTCCTTCTGCGAGCAAGTTATGCTCGCGAAGGAGACGGCGGAGCGGGACCGGGAGAGGTTTAGAACTCTCCCTCCTCCATAAGCGCAGGCCTGGGGGTGACAGGTGAGGCCATCTGTCACCCTAGCAGAAGCAGGCCGGGGTGGCGGCGAGCGCGTTGCGAAGCGCGCTCGCTTCCAGGGAGCACAGGGAACATGGGGTTCCCACACGGGGCGGGGGTCGTCTACTCGTCTGTAGATGACCCGAGGTATGTCGGGGCACCAGGGCCTTCCTTTCTAGGGTATACCTGGTTCCCCGGCTATTAGTACCCGGCAAAGGCGTGCGGTTTTAGTCGGTTCGAGTCCGACATGCCACCGACAGGTGGTATCCGAGGGGATTTCCGCACGCAAAAAAAAAAAAAAAAAAAAGGTACAAAAGTATATTTATGTAAGTGATACATATTGGTAACCTAATTAAATAACGAGTGCTCCTCTTGGTTCATCAGACTCAACGAGAATGTGTTGGACTTGTCTAAAGTCACTTTCCATAACCATTTCCATGACGGGTCACCCCGCCTGCTCGTTTACCGCCTCTTCCAGAAAATAAAAAAAAAACAGTTAAAAGTAATGGTAATAAAGAGTGTTCAAATGAAGTCAATTAATATTTTTACAGAACAACAGGGCCAGGACATCGATGTGGACGATTTGATGCGCCGGTATACCACTGATGTCATTGCATCAGCAGCTTTTGGACTTCAAGTCAACTCACTGAAGGACAGAGACAATCAGTTCCACAAGATGGGAAACGAACTCTTCGACTTAACTATTAGACAAAGGTTGCTGTTTATCTTGGTTACTCAGTTTCCACAATTTGGCAAGGTATGCATTGCATAAGTTTAAACTGTGAAAGAAAAAATGTTAAATTATTTATATAGATCTTTAGAAATTACTACGATTTATTTCACTATTTTTTTTTAGTTAGATAAATAAATATAGTTCACAAACAAACCTACATGGAATCACAGCATTGCCTGTCCATTTATTTTTCTTAAAAACGTATGGAAGGACAAAGATGAAATTTACTTCAAATGCGTATGCGCTTCCTTGTATTGAAATCAAGCTTAGATTTCAATGCATTTAAAAACTACGGCCAATCAAACAAAAATGAAAGTCCGTAAAATACCTAATGATATGAACACTTGAAAATACTTTTGCTAATATTAAAAGCTTGAATGGTGCGCTTGGAAAATTAAATGTGACGAAAATAATACATGGGAGAGTATTTTTATAACAGCAAAGTTAAGTTTATCACTAGGAATGAAATTCCAAAAACCTTTGACAATCGATTTCTGTGACAAATTTAATTATCTACATACAAGTTTCCATGAAACCCAAACGCGCAAATCAGACCCGTACTTGCCATTCTACTTTGTTAAAGGGGCCGTTTAGAAATTGAAACTCGAGAATGAATGGGGGCATTTTTGTAGAGAGAGTTTTAAGAACGAGGGATGTTTAAAATTCTCTAGTTTTCAGAAGGAGGTACAAAAATTCCATCTCGAAAAGGAGTTTCCATAAGGAAGTCGAGATCTAGAGATTTCACATAATTACAGACGGCTTTAATAAATTTATGATTTTATTTACCAGAAACTTGGCATTCGAATATTCTCAGACAGGGCTTACGATTTCTTTTCTAACATTGTTGCAACTTCTATGGAATACAGAAAAAGGGAGAAGATAGAACGACCCGATATGATCCAATTGCTGATGGAGGCTAAAAGAGGTAAATGCAAGTGACTATCTTTGAATTGTACATCAAGACATCTAGAAAATAATTTGTTTTTTTTTATATTTTATTCCTAAAATTAGACAAGTTTTTCCATAGTCATATATTATAGTAGGGGAGCCCATGATGCAGGGTTTACTCGAGCGTCATGGGGACCTATTGCATTTGAAAGATTAGGTACTAGAATGAATAAATTTATATAATGTTTGCACTTTTAGCGGTGGGAAAAACTTCTGCAGGTTTTCAAAAATGTAAGGGGAGGAAATCGAAAAAAAATATTCGGGCGCACCAGATATTTTGGGGATATGTTATTTGGATGCAAAAAATGCTCCCATTGAAAGGTCTGACGATTTTAAAGGGCTCTTAGAAAACGCAAACTGCAAATTCAAAAAACCGCCACATCGAAATACCGGCACGTGTTAGATATCGTACAAACGGTGCAGCATAATGTCCCTCTCATGCTAGCCAAAAACCTGACGATAATTCAGGTTGTCGTATAAGGGGAACCCTGGAATACCAGGGAATACCCTGGTATTCCCCGGATCGACACCGGTCCTACTAGGCCTTATCCCGAGGGAAGTCAGAGACTTCCCACCGCCTATCACTAAATCTACGGGCCCGATCGCATCTTGGTGTAATCAGACCGCCACCATGCCCCTTACCGTCATAATCAATCTGCCAACAGAGGTCCCCGAGCTATGAAGAAATAGAAACGCGCATACCAATAAAGAAATAAATTAAATAAGATAGTCCTTTATTGCACATATGTATTGATATTTTACTATTTTTAGAATGGACTCCAGAAGAGATAACCAGCCAGGCTTTTATTTTTTTCTTCGCTGGCTTTGAAACTTCAGCATCAGCTTTAGTGATGGCTATTCACGAACTTGCTCTTAATCCGGACATACAAGACAAGTTGTACCAGGAATGCAGAAAATACAAGGAACACAGAGTGCTAGCTTTTGAAAACTTGACTGAAATGAAATATTTGGATGCAGTCATTAATGGCATGTACATTTTTATCTCTAGAAGTTTGATAATAGCCTCATTTACATTATATCTAAAGGGAATATGTTTAAATATGAAGTGTTCTTCTGAGGAAGTCCCTCTACCTTATAAGCAAACCCTTTGCCAAGTAGAAATCTTTACCCATTTAACAATAGTGCATTAGCAGTGTCATCTCACTTCGATTCTTTAATACGAGCACTGTTGTCATTTCATTAACTCCCTGGATCTTCCCGTATGCAAGCAATCCATATACGGATGACGAGTGAACCAAAGGTAAATATCCATGCTCACCACACTCGGAGGGCAAGTTCCCTCTCGAATAATTCACCTGCAGCTGACTCAGGAACAGAGTGGCAACGCATTGTACCTTTTGTGTACCTAATAAATTTTCTTTTTACCCCCCTCTTATTTAGTTGTTTTTTATAAAGTAAAATAGCTATGAATTCCGATTTAAGACTTATACATTAGAAAATCCGAGTTGTCACGAAAATTTATAGACCAAAATTGCGCCATACTTATGTTCGCCAAGATATAATATTAAATAAAAAAAGATTAGTGACTTTTTATAGTAGCGGTAGTGGGTTTCATTGTATAATTCGTATTTACAGAAAGTTTAAGGAAATGGTCTCCAGCTATCATATTGGATAGAACTTGCACTAAAGCTTACGAATTGCCTCCACCCAGACAAGGTGGTAAACCTTACCTGGTGAGTATCGTCACAACAACTGCCTCGAAATGGCAGATATGCATATAATAATGAAAATGATTTTGAACCATAAAAATACACATCTAGGCTTAATTCACGTAAAAGCTTTTCCTTTTCGACAACTTGGACTCACATACTAAGGCCCATTTTTTGATGAATACATCATTTTTATTGTTAATTATTTAAAGAAATACCTGTTTGCACTGAGCAAGAGCCAAGACTACGACACATATGTTTTTGACAAATAATTTAAGTCTCACATCATAGTTAAGATTATTTTCGACTGACACAAATTAATAGTTAAAAGTATTTCAGGTGAAACCTGGTGATATTTTATACAACTCGGTGAACTCGATTCATATGGATCCTAAATATTGGGCTGATCCGCACAAGTTCGACCCTGACCGGTTTCTGGAAGAGAATAAAGTTAAAATTAAGCCTTTTACTTTTACTCCCTTTGGAGGTGGTCCTCGGGCCTGCATTGGTAATATATTTTATTATTTGTACTATAAAATACAACAAATTTATCCCTTAAATTGACTTAACCGAGAAAATTGAAAGATTACAATTTAAATTAATAAATTAATGCAATTTCTAGGTGTTAGATTTGCAATGATGATGTTGAAGGTACTTCTATTTAACATAATCTTAAACTTAAAGATTATAAAGACATCAAAAACTTCAGAAATCATCAAACTGAAGCCACACAACTTCAACATCAGAGCTGTCAACGGAACATTTGTGCGGTTTGAAAAGAGAATATTGGAATGAGATGTGTTGATGATGATGTGTTGATGATGATATGTTTATTATTATATTAGTATAATCATATTTACTACCGCAATGCTATCTTGAATCACCTTTATCTCAAATGTCTTGATTTAGTTGGTTCAATACACAAAAACACACATGCTACATTTTGTCTTCTCTTTCGTATACGTTTATCTTCACTTCGATTCTTTATTATATTTTTTTTATCTTCTAGACTGATTATCTCTTTTTTTTTAGATTTAGCTAATCTATTATGATTAAAGAACGATTTATTTTAAAATAGTTTTTTTTTGAGCCTACAAGTTTGCTACTGTTGTAGTCTCGTGTTATGATAGATTCACTGACAGAATTGTCAAATTTTGGTATTGTTTAAACTACTACATAAATAGCACTCTTATAAATTTCATGAAGTTTCTAGGTGACATGGACAAGTATTAATTGATTTTCCAAGATCAGTCAGTCATCCCTACGATATACGAATGCTACCTTTATTTCTGGTAAACTGTTAACTATGGAGTCACTAACTCACTGGTCTCACTAAACTGCTTTTGAGTCAATGACATAAGTGCGTATTTCTAGATAGAAAATAAATAGATAAATCTGAAGTTCCGTAATCAGATTTGGTACCAGCTCCATTATGAACGAGTAAAATAGGTGCCTTATAACTTGTGCAAACCGTAGACCGTTGGTTGATATTTATTACTTCCTTTGTCTATAACAAACTTCTCCCGATAATTAAATGTAAGTACTAAATTAAAGCTACCTAATTAATGAATTTTCTGACAGTCAATCTTAGTTAATACAGAATTGAGTTAAGGCACTAGAAGGTGCTTAAACGTTAAAAGTGAGAATTTGAATCAAAGTATTGTTAATACTTAGAACTGAACATCACTAGTAAATTGACTTAGACTTTGACGAATGCTTAGGAAATCAAAATGTTCTTGATGAAAGTTTCACATATTATCACCTCGCTTTACTACCTATAGTTTTTTACCTCTCACGGCCGTCACCCGCTCTATACTCGTATAAATACTAAGCGTAGGCATACTGAGCGGAGTCCAGTTTCATAATCACTTAGAGGGTAAGACTAAATAAGCGTGAGGCAGAGCTGACTGGTGAAACGCCTGGCACAGAACAGGAATGTCAGCGTGAAGAACAAGGAATGTATATACTTTTGAGCTCCCCACACTTGTTGCGACTCGTCGAATGCCTTATGTGCAGTCATCGCTTCGCCACGACGTTTGACACTAACAACGCACAGAGGAATGTCTTATGGAAAGCTAATTTCAAAGGTTCTGTTAAACCAAATATGTTCAAGGGTCAATCTCCATCATGTGGATGATTGACTTTACCACTGTGTGCTTTTCAAGATCCTTAAGAGGCACAATTTTCAACATTTACAGTCTATGTTGTACAAAAGATTTACCAAACATAACACTAGAGAGAGTAGTGGTATAAATTTAAGATGGATGACAATCAATGAATATAAATGACTATTGACAATGAGTTGCTAAATTTGAGGCCAGGCTTTTACAGTTACATATACACACAAACACCTCAGTGACCTCAGAAATTTATGGAAGGGTATAATTAAAGTATAACGTTATGAACTCAATTTTACCAAGCTTTTGCTATAACTTTATCATAGCTGTAATTTACTACAAAATGGATTCAAAGCTATTTTAAAGTCTTTAAAATACTCGTAAATGCATAAAATAAACATTTGTATTTATAAACAGCTCAAGAAAACACACAGCACTGAGTTTGGCATGAAAATCGCTTGAAATTACAAGTTATTAATAAATTACTGATTTAAAATAATAAAAAAACAACTGCTCTTAAATTGTAGTCCTTAACTAATGATAGTTAAGGACATTAGTTAAGGACATTAAATATTTGACATTGTAGTGTTCTTTTGTATTCGATTACTTCAGGAGTTTAAACCAACTTTGAAAGTTGGTCTGTTACTATAAAATTGATACCGTAGGACGTATCTTTAGAAAAGTGTCTAATCATCATTAACAGCCTTTAATAGTCCACTGCTGGACCTCCTCTCCTTAGGAAAGAGGTTTTGGCCTACTATACCACGCTGGCCAGACGGATGAATCGGGATAGTGACATTGCGTATTCTTAATCACCACACGGATTAAGTGTCTAAATTATTAGACAACTAGGACGTATCTCTACTTGTGATGCTCGCTGTACATAGATAGATAGATAGATAGAACTCTTTATTTGTACACCATTTTACATAGGTATATTAACCTTCAAAATATAACACTTCTTGTTTAGGCAGCTGTATAACAAAATTATGGTAGTGTAATAAAAATTAATTCCATTTAAGTCATCACTTTATCAAGCTTTTTGCTTTTATTTGATATCACATTTTTAATAAGATTTGGTTCATATTTAAGAATTTCCGAACCAGATACTACGATATTTATATAAATAACAATAAAATAATAATAAACCTTACACATCTCAGACACGGTCGTCTGATCCCAAACTAGGCACAGCCTGTGAGTTGTTAACCAGACTGGTAATAAACTTTTATACATTTTTAAATACGTACATATTACAGATAAATTACACGTAGACACAGAACAGGGGGACTTCATTTTATAATATGTTAGGATTTGTCGCCGGACCTGACACAGTATAGTCCTGTATGTTCGTAAACCTAAATAACGTACATTTGGCAAGCTTTCATCGTGTTTTTAGAACAAGCACATTTTAACTTGCCGCACCGCTGTGGCTTAGGGTAGCCATAACTTTAGATACACCGGGATTTCTTTATTAAAGTAATATCGCTTATAATAGGGTAAAAAAGACTACAAATATTTCATATATAATCCTTCGAGGTTATTACGTACTACAGTGCTAGTCGCTTATATTAAAAATATAATAATCTTCCATTTTTTTCGTAAATGCATGGTAAAGTAAAAAATATAGTTTAAAAAGGTACACCTTCTTAGTTATCAAGCCTTATAACTACAAAGTTTCGCTTTATATCATAAAAATAATATATTATAAAAATAATAGTTAAAAAAACTATGGGGTGCTTTTTACTATTGACAACAGGCACCCAAAGCTTTTTTTCAAATTTATTAAAATTTATTTTCTATTTTTTAGTTTGGTTTTCTATAAAAAGCGTGTTTTTTTTTTAACTATTTTTTTTTTCAAATTAATGTACTGTCATCGGCCCTCGATATATATTATCTACAAAGTTTGAACGAATTCTGACCGTTAAAAGTCAGTCAAAATCACGCCCAAAGGAGTCGGTTACAAACAAACATACAAGTGAGGCTAATATAAAGCGTGTAAGAACAGTAGTACTTTAGTTTTCTTAACTTGAAAATCGCATCACTAGGCTAATTTTACTTCACATATAATCTCTACAAATATATTTTTACTGAAATTAACTTACTAGTTCCTGATGCTAGCATTATAATTAAAAATATAATCACATATTATCTAAGGAAACTAATTACGAAAGTTAACGTTTAATAAATTTTTTTATTTTTCTTTTGATATATAAACTAAAAGGGGTAATATTATCAGGCACTAAACCGCTCAAGTTGTTATAAGAAAGTTATAAGACATCCTATAAAACTTAATTTAGAAATCCCTACAGAATATATCTAAAGCTTTATTTACTTGTCAGTGCAACCATTTTTACCTATCCTTTTACAGTCCTCCGTGATCATTAACAGAAATAAGTTATCTAACACAACGAATTTGAATTTGGATTTGAATTTGACTCAGACCATTAAGCCCATAAACACTAATGTCCTAAAACTTTTCACCTACATTATGGCCACCATAAGTGGTTAGTGTGTAATTTGCGAGTTATTTTAATGTTGATTCTGTAGCACCAAAAGCTATGGGCGACCACAAACTATAAATTCAGCAAGTCATCATTTTGTCAGCACATATATGTACATATTTTCACTGTTTACTATTGAACAACCTTTAGATAATGAAAGAGCACAAAACGTGTCTAGTTTCTTGACAAATAATATTACATTTTCATCCATCGTCAACAGCCTTTAATAAATAGTCCACTGCTAGACATAGGCGTCTTCTTAGAAAGGAGGTTTTGGCCTACCTGGTTTGTTTCAAGTTTTCCTTCTCTTTGCAGTGCTGTTGTCCTGCGTAGTTTGCTCTCTGAGTCGGCTCTGAATTAGATGGTATTGTTTTATGTATGTTACTTCAGTAATCCGTACCTTAGCATTATAGTGGGTGCTAAATTTATAGAAGACATTTATTAAGGTAAATTTTTTTTCTCGATGTCTCCACCCTTCCAATGTAATAGACATGTCGGGCAAATAAAAAGGTCTCGAAAATTATCAATATAACCATTGACAAAATAAATAACCGAAGTTACAAGTGGTTTTTGTAATTTTAAAACAAATATCACTGTAATTGTCAATGTAGAATATTTTCTTCAAATTAAAATAACAAAAACGCGTCGCATAAATAATAAACAAAAAGAAAATCAGTTGTATTGAGAACATCCAACTTTTTAAGAACTTAGTTTAAAGCATAATTCAAATAACATTTCATAAAGTAGGAAGACCAAGTATAAAAATAAAACCGTCAAATGGAAAGGAGTCACCAAATAAACAATAAATTGGCTGCAAGTCAAAAACTTAATAGCAAAACTGCGATTTAAAGTTCCATCTGCAAAGATTATTGGGTCTAAATCGAATTTAGATGCTTCTTAGACGTAGTTTCGGTGAAGATACGACTTAATAGCAATAACTTGGCTGTTTTATGACCGCTTACGTGAGATTAACTTTTATTTATTATACCGTGATATACTGACAGGGATCATTTCATAAAATATTGTGTGATTTTAGTGATTGAAGGTCTTGATTTCATTAAATCGGACACCAAGTGTCTGCAAGCACCGTCAATAAAGGTTTAATTGTCGAATTTTAAGATGTCCTAGTGTTATTATATTACAAATAATTCAAGTCTTACTAGGGATTTAACTA